AAAAAAAAAAAAGCTTAATTCGTTAAGCCAAAAAAAAGTTTTGGGTTTAGGTGCACTTTAATCTCGAGCCCAGAGTCATTTGGGCTTGTCGGCGAAATTACTTGACGACCATATCGCAAACAAGGATCACTATCCAGCCACCCCGGCCTCCATATTGATCAATAATACAAGTGTATCGACCAATGAGAGCGTATGCGTATGATATTAAATGTTTTTTTAAGAGGTGAACAGTGTTTAATTCCAAAGGTAAGCCTTAGCAGATTTTGAAAAAGCCATTTTCCTCTAATACGCCAAATGTTGTAGACCCGCTATTTTGTCTCCATCGAGAAGGATGGTCTCGATGTCTAACAAAGTTTTTTGGCGGCCGCGTGCAAATTTACCGCGCAAAGAAACCGTGACTTACTGACTTAGGAGTATGTTTATAACTCTTAGATCACAACTTGGTTCTGAAACCTTGGAAATGCACGCGCAGACGTTTGACCCCTGCTCTGAACAGGCTAAAAATGAATGAGAATATTTTCTAAATATTTTATAGGTTTAAGTGATGACGTCAAAAGGCGGTTACTGGAAAATGTCCGGTGATGACGATGAAGAAGTCAGTTTTGCATCTGCTCTTTTATTTCGTTGGATGAACGGAGTTCTTGAGCAAGACAGTCAAAGACCTTTGGATTAAAATGACTTTTTACCGTTGTCAGACGAGAACTCTGGCCATTTTGTCACCGACAAGCTACGAAAAAGCTGGGAAAGCGAGAAACATTATTGCAAGATAAATGGGAAAAGGCTTAAACTTTGGAAAGGCGTGTTTGATATGCTTTCTGTCAAAGATGTCATCATTATTTTGACAAGGAATATGTTGTGTATAACTTATCGCCTTCTCTTTCCACTGTTTCTCGGGTATTTCATTTCCATGCTTACGTCAGCTGAGGCAGAGAGTACTTACCTGATCTACACCTGTGCATCAGCTTTGTGTCTCATGGTTTGATCTGGTTACTCTATAGTAGTATACATTGAACCCTAATACGCAACAGTTACTTCCATACGTCACTGGAAAACGGCCGCCCTGCTGAGCAAGATTAAAACTGGCGACTGAGTTGTCGCATTATGGACACATTTGAAGATACCTCGGTAAAAGTTCGATTATTCTCGTCTCTAAAAGCGAATATAGCTATCTTAACTGGCGGAAATTTAAAATCTGATAGGTTTTGAAATAGACTTACTCTTCAATGTCAAATCTTCACTCTCTTGCAGACGCTTCTTCTCAGCACGCAGGTGTCACTGGAATTCACTGCAGGACGCTTATTTAACCTGATATCTAATGATGTTAAGAGAATGGAAGAAGAGACAGTCAAGTTTTTTTTCTTGACACCTTTCGGAGTCCTTTCGCGTGCAGGAACAACATTCCTTATATACAATCTGATTGGCTGGCAGGCTACTACGGGTGTGTTCTTCCTGTGTATTCTCATTCCATACTTTGCCGTCTTGTCCTATGCTAATGCTAAGCTGCGCTTGCGCACAGCTACAATGTCCGATCAGCGAATCGCCCTAATAAATCAAGTAGTCTCTGTGATCCGCGCAGCCAAAACGCATGCGCCGGAGGACGAATATCGGCGAAAAGTAGAAGAAATACGAAGGTAAGGCGAATGATCATGTTCAGTCAGAGGTGGACTCCAAGAACTGGGTGTTGTAAGCTACATGAAATATATGGATGAACTCATTTTCACTTACTTATCATATCTCTCAGTTAGAACGCGCACTATGATTGGTCGATTTAAGCGCTGATCAACTCGAAGCTTCAACATTCCCCTCGGGCAACCCCCGGGCATTTGACGTTTTGAACATTTGTTCGTTCAAACGAATGTTCCTAAGCTAATGAACGGGCGCTGAATATGAAAATAGCTGTTTCGCGTTTTTTTTCAGTGTTACTGAGGAAGGAATTTTTGCTGTTATATTCGAGTGGAAACTGGCTGTATATCTTGACATAAGTAATCAAGAAAATTGTATAAAAAAACACACAAAGTTTTCTTTATTTACAGAATGGTGTTAACAACAGAGTCAATTTGCAACAGAATTCGAAAGAACCTGAGCAGTGATACTAAAACAATCATTCGCCTCTGGCTCACTAACTGTTTTTAATAATTCCATTGACCTCGTTTTGGGGATTTTTAAATGTATTCACTTCGTCTTTGAAATAATTGTTTAATCATAATTGGTAGAACATTTCATTGAGTCTAACTCTTCTTCAGTGCTGCCTTGTTTTTCATACATGGTGCTGGAGTCGCAAGAGACTAGCACTTCCATGACGAAGTGGACGATGGGAAATTTTTCAAAGGAAGGGTACACTTCTTTGATTGTCCGTGCGCAACATTGAAGCATTCCTTTTCAGCCAATTAGTTGGTCAAAATGTTGGAAAGAAGATTGTCAGAGAGACAATAAACTTGTGAAGATACCTCTTGCACAATATATTGGTTTTATGTTTTGTTTAGCTTGTCGCCTTCTCTTTCCACTGTTTCTCGGGTATTTCATTTCCATGCTTACGTCAGCTGAGGCAGAGAGTACTTACCTGATCTACACCTGTGCATCAGCTTTGTGTCTCAATGGTTTGATCTGTTTACTCTATAGTAGTATACATCGAACCCTAATACACAACAGTTACTTTCATACGTCACTGGAAAACGGCCGCCCTGCTGAGCAAGATTAAAACTGGCGACTGAGTTGTCGCATCATGGACACATTTGAAGATACCTCGGTAAAAGTTCGATTATTCTCGTCTCTAAAAGCGATTATGGCTATCTTACATGGCGGAGATAAAAATCTGATAGGTTTTGAAATATAATTACTTTTCAATGTCAAATCTTCACTCTCTTGCAGACGCTTCTTCTCGGCACGCAGTTGTCACTGGAATTCAGTGCAGGACGCATATTTAACCTGATATCTAATGATGTTAAAAGAATGAAAGAAGAGACAGTCAATTTTTTTTTCTTGACACTTTTCGCAGTCCTTTCGTATGCAGGAACAACATTCCTTATATACAACCTGATTGGTTGGCAGGCTACAGCGGGAGTGTTCCTCCTGTGTATTCTCATGCCATACTTTGCCGTGTTGTCCTATGCTAATGCTAAGCTGCGCTTGCGCACAGCTACAGTGTCCGATCAGCGAATCGCCCTAATAAATCAAGTAGTCTCCGTGATCCGTGCAGCCAAAACGCATGCGTGGGAGGACGAATATCGGCGAAAAGTAGAAGATATACGAAGATAAGGCGAATGATCATGTTCAGTCAGAGGTGGACTCCAAGAACTGGGTGTTGTAAGCTGCATTAAATATATGCATGAACTCATTTTCACTTACTTATCATATCTCTCAGTTAGAATGCGCACTATGATTGGTCGATTTAAGTGCCGATCAACTCGAAGCTTCAACTTTCCCCTCAGGCAACCCCTGGGCAGTTGACCTTTTGAACGTTTGTTCGTTGAAGCGAATGTTCCTAAGTTAATGAACGGGCGTTGAATTTGAAAATGGCTGTTTCGCGTTTTTTTCAGTGTTACCGAGGAAGGAATTTTGCTGTTATATTCGAGTGGAAACTGGCTGTATATCTTGACATAAGTAATCAAGAAAATTGTATAAAAAAACACACAAAGTTTTCTTCATTTACAGAATGGTGTTAAGAACAGAGTCTATTTGCAACAGGATTCGAAAGTACCTGAGCAGTTATACTAAAACAATCATTCGCCTCAGGCTTATTAAATGTTTTTAATAATTCCATTGACCTCATTTTGGGGATTTTTAAATGTTTCCACTTCGTCTTTGAAATAATTGTTTAATCATAATTGGTAGAACATTTCATTGAGTCTAACTCTTCTTCAGTGCTGCCTTGTTTTTCATACATGGTGCTGGAGTCGCAAGAGACTAGCACTTCCATGACGAAGTGGACGATGGGAAATTTTTCAAAGGAAGGGTACACTTCTTTGATTGTCCGTGCGCAACATTGAAGCATTCCTTTTCAGCCAATTAGTTGGTCAAAATGTTGGAAAGAAGATTTTCAGAGAGACAATAAACTTGTGAAGATACCTCTTGCACAATATATTGGTTTTATGTTTTGTTTTACAAAGCGTCGATTGCGATTGGCTCCGATAAAATGATCGGAAAGGAGTATTCTTTTGTCTTCTTTTCAGTTAGGTAATTAGAGATATCTACTGTTTGCGTACCTTATAAATCCAAGCATAAAAGGGCGCGAATTGACCGCCCGGATCTAGAAACTGTAAGTGGGGTAATGTCTCTATATATTCGCACGTCAGCAACTGCCACTTCAACGTTACAGTCGTCAACAAATGTGGCATCTGTGACATTCCCACCTTCAGAAGTAGCTTGAACGGCTCCTTTGTCGCTGCTGAGCTCTACCGGCTGATCTCCAGACTTAAAATCGTTCCCTAGTCCCACCAACAAGTCCACTTTGCTGGAATCTTATTTCGTGAAGACGGCCGGTGGAAAAGCCCCTGGCGTGTCCTTGTTAGTTTCCTCCCAAAGTGTCCTTTGTCCAACGGACGATAATTCTCCACAAATTTTTCAAAGGACTTTCAGTCTCGGGGTTGATCTCTTCTGTTGGCATTTGCAAACTCCATGCTGCTCTGAGGGAAATGATAGTAGGAATTTTCATGAGTAAAATACTTGGTTTCCCATTTTGTTACTCACTTCAACGACTCCTTGCTAATGATTCCAGAGTCTTGGGAATACTTAGATGCGGTGAAGGTCTCATGCCTTAAAATGGGAAGCTGCGAAAAGATTCTCCACAACTGTTGTGTGTAATGTGCACAATCCAATGTCTTCGAGATAATCGTTATTGATTGAGCTATGCTGTTGTGAAGGCGGCGCATTCCTTCTTCGAGATGTTTAATTGAGACTTGAGTTTTATTAGAGATATTTCCTTCAGGGTCGTTGGTTGCTGTGGTTTCCTTTCTTCTGCGCCGCTGTTTCACCTCATAAACGGTCTTTGAGATGTTGTCATTTACACACGATAGTTAGTCTACGGCATCTTGAAGAGAAATGTGTGCTTCCTCCATGCTTTGGGCCCTGATATCAAACTGTTATGGAGACTTCCAAGGACTTGTAAGAACGACACAGTACCACTGAGTCTCGATGCTAGTTTCATGTAACCTGTAGCAACATCCGATACGGATAGAGTCTTCTCAATAGATAAGATGCCGTGAACTTGCGCAAAGAACACGTTTTATCCGTTCCACCACTTGCTCCTTTCTTACAATAGCCCATCAAGGCGACGTTTTCTCAGAAGGACTGAAGAACTTTACCTTTCGATCTGCCGAGTTAGTGAACGCTATCCCGTCTTAAAATTCACAAATTCTTTTGATTTCTTTACAAAATTTCCTCCGAGTTGTTCTTTAGAAATAGGTCTTAGCTTGAAAGGTTGCAAACGTAAAGACCAGTCTCGATNTCGTTGTTTGTTTCCTCCCAAAGTGTCCTTTGTCCAACGGACGATAATTCTCCACAAATTTTTTCAAAGGACTTTCAGTCTCGGGGTTGATCTCTTCTGTTTGCATTTTCAAACTCCATGCTGCTCTGAGGGACATGATAGTAGGATTTTTCATGAGTAAAATACTTGGTTTCCCATTTAGTTACTCTCTTCAACGACTCCTTGGTAATGATTCCAGAGTCTTGGGAATACTTAGATGCGGTGAAGGTCTCATGCCTTAAAATGGGAAGCTGCGAAAAGATTCTCCACAACTGTTGTGTGTAATGTGCACAATCCAATGTCTTCGAGATAATCGTTATTGATTGAGCTATGCTGTTGTGAAGGCGGCGCATTCCTTCTTCGAGATGTTTAATTGAGACTTGAGTTTTATTAGAGATATTTCCTTCAGGGTCGTTGGTTGCTGTGGTTTCCTTTATACTGCGCCGCTGTTTCACCTTATAAACGGTCTTTAAGATGTTGTCATTTACACACAATACTTAGTCTACGGCATCTTGAAGAGAAATGTGTGCTTCCTCCATGCTTTGGACCCTGATATCAAATTGTTATGGAGACATCCAAGGACTTGTAAGAACGACACAGCACCACTGAGTCTCGATGATAGTTTCATGCAACCTGTAGCAACATCCCATACGGATAGAGTCTTCTCTATAGATAAGATGCCATGAACTTGCGCAAAGAACAAGTTTTATCCGTTCCACCACTTGCTCCTTTCTGACAATCGCCCATCAAGGCGACGTTTTCTCAGAAGGACAGAAGAACTTTACCTTTCGATCTGCCGAGCTAGTAAACGCTATCCCGTCTTAAAATTCACAAGTTCTTTTGATTTCTTTACAAATTTCCTCCGAGTTATTCTTTAGAAATAGGTCAGTTAGCTTGAAAGGTTGCAAACGTAAAGACCAGTCTCGACCGACTGCTGCAAAGTAAGCTCTCTGTGTGAGAACGTTCATAGATATGACATTCGAAATAGGAATGCAGCTTCTGTGACGCTCAAATGCCGTTTCCGAATCAATTCGATAAAAGCTTACAACAGCCTTTAAAATACCAGCATTGACTTCTATAACGTAAGTTGACGATCGAGTTGAGTATCAAAGATCATATAACCGACATGTTACACATGACCGTGATGTGGATGATCCATGCGGTAATTATTAACGAAATATAACACTCTGGCGTACTTCTACTGATATGTAATATGAAAAACTAAATCAAATGTCCTTATTTCACATCCAGATTTTAGGATATTTAGGGCGATGCGGTCTTTTGTCAGCTATCAGTAAAAGCCCACCACAAATGTCACTTGCCAGTTAGATTTTCAGCGATTTTTCAGTTGTCAGTTAAAATTTTGGCCATTTGTCAGTTGTCAGTTAACCCCATCTAGACCCTCTGTAGTATTAAATTATGAAATAAGTGAGACTATACGCGCACTCTCATTGGTCGACAGGTGTGTACAGATGAGAGTTAGGGTATTTTAGATTCGCGATAAATCTTAGGAATTATTTTGTGAAAGCCAAGCAATAGAGGACTTTTTCCGCGCCTAAATAGCCTCATCTAAACACTAGAGTGTCTGGGAGAGTAGTGTACTCGAAAGTTATGCAAACCCATATGGCAGTCAAAACCTATCCACGGGTAGTTTTTAAACACGACAGAAACGTGAGGGGCACCCGGGCGGCTCAGGAGCTCAGCAAACTTTCACTTGTCTTCGCAAGTGAAATTTTGGTTGTTAACTTTAAGAAGACTAAAGCAAAGAACTGGTATATAATAATAATAATATTAATAATAACAATAATAATAATAATAATGGAAACTTTATTTGTGTTTTTAAATGTACAATTGTAAATCTCACTACGTATAGGCAATTTATAAATGCTGCTTGAGATTTGATTATTCAACACACACGCACACAAAAAAGCAAAACAAACCAAAACAAAACAAAAATCAAAATTGCATTAAGTCTGGGTTGTCCCAATTCTTATTTTTGCAACAAAAGTTGTAATATGTTGCTCTAATGACTATAGATATCATTTTCTTGATTATGTAAAGTTGCTGCTTTTTGTCAATGCCAATGTTATTCATCATGTTTAAGAACATAGAGCATTCATCGGAGAAAACGCCAAGGGAGCTCATGGAGAGATTTACAAATTTCGCACATCTGAAAGTTCTCACTGGTACTGAGTAAATTTAATAGAAGGAGGACAAACATTAAGACCAAATTTATTGCGTTCTAGGAAAACATTGTTCAGTGTTCCAGATATCGGAATATCAAGCCATTTTCGGATATAGCCATTCACTACAGAGTCGAGATGTTGCGCTATCCAGGTTTTGGATATATTGGCTATGGTGAAATGCCATGAAAATTTTGATAGGACATAGCGGCTGTACAGAAGAAGTTTGCGTTTAGAATGCAGTGGCTTTAGAGTCATTCCTCAAGTTTTATACAAGAAAGGACAAATCAGTAATGATAATCATAATGACTCAATACGAAGCTAGAAAAAGACCTCTGAAGTAAAAAACTAGATGATGTCAGTTGAACAAGTTATGACCTACACCGAACTCGACCGGGAGCCTAGATACGAGGAAGAGCGACAACCCCCAAAAGACTGGCCTCGGAGAGGAAGTATTGTATTCAGAGATCTCTGACTTACTATCCGGGGGGACCTCAAGTGCTGAAGAAAATTTATCTTAGCATCAAAGGAGGAGAAAAGATCAGAGATGCTGGCCGCACAAGAGCTGGGAAGTCATCTTTTGCGGGAAGAAAAGATCAGAGATGCTGGCC